ACAGGTTGTAATTCATTGAATAAAATAAGAACCATTAATCAAACATATAAATTAATAAATCTAAAGTTTGATGAGGAATAGGATATTTACATACTTTAAATACAAAACACTTATTCATTCCAAGGTGAGGAGAGAGTAATTTTACAGTGAAGAAACCTGATAGCACCCACTTTAGTCAAGTGAACCAAGTGAACACCATCAATAATGGGTTACATTGAAATCCTTCACCACATAATAGAATATAATGAAATGAACACAGCATCATTTCTGTGATGTTTCCGTCAAAGATGCATAACATGAAAGTAATCATGAGGAAACTCTTGGTGAACCAAAATTGAAAAGAATTCTACAAAATAACTGGCCTCTAGTTTTGGCATCTGGGCAATACTGGCTTCATAGAATGAGTTGGGAAATTTTCATTCCCCTTCTACATTTAGAAAGAGTTTGTGGAGAATCGGCATGAATCCTTGTTTGAATATTTGGTAGTACTCACCAGTGAGGCCATCTGGGCTTATGCTTTTGGTGGGGGGTAGGGGGCGGGTAGGGTGGGCAGGAGGAGTTTAAAAATTACTAATTCTATCTCTTTTCTTTACTATTCAGATTTTTTTATTTCCTCTTGAGGCAATTTTAGTCATTTGTTTCTTTCTAGGAATTTGTCCATTTCATCTAAATTTTCTAATTTGTTTCATGGTATTACCTTATAATCATTTTTGTCTCTCTAAGGTTGGCAGTAATTTCTCCTTTTTCATTTCTAATTTTAGTAATATAAGTCTTCTCTCTCCCTTTGATGAATATAGCTAAAGGTTTATTAATTCATTGATCTTTTCAAATAACCAAGTTTGAGTTTGTCGATTATCTTTGTTGTTTTTCTATTCTCTATTTCATTTATTTTGCTCTAATCTTTATTATTTACTATCTCTTGCTTACTTTGGGTTTAGTTTACTCTTCTTTGCCAGTGTCTTGAGTGAAAGGTTAGATTATTGATTTTTTCTTCTTTTTTAATATATGAATTTATAAGCTATAAATTTCCTGCTAAGCACTGCTTTGGCTGCATCCCATAAATTAAGTATGTCGTGTTTTTGTTTTTATTCTTCTCATATTATTTTCTACTTTCCCTTGTGATTCCTTCTTTGATCCATTGGTTATTTAGGAGTGTGTTGTTTAATTTCTATATATTTATCTGTTTCTCAATTTTTATATTTTATTGTTTTCTAATTTAATTCCATTATATTCAGAGAATATACTTTATATGATTTCAATCCTTTTTTTTTTTTGAGGAAGATTAGCCCTGAGCTAACTACTGCCAGTCCTCCTCTTTTCTGCTGAGGAAGCCTGGCCCTGAGCTAACATCCATACCCATCTTCCTCCACTTTATAGGTGGGGCACATACCACAGCATGGCTTGCCAATCGGTGCCATGTCCTCACCTGGGATCTGAACTGGCGAACCCCAGGTCACCGAAGCAGAACATGCGAACTTAACCACTGCACCACCAGGCAGGCCCCTCAATCCTTTTAAATTTATTTAGGTTTGTTTTATGCCCTAGCATAGGTGTATCCTGGAGAATGTTCCATGAACTCTTATGAAGAATGTGCATCCTGCTGCTGTTGGATAAATTGTTCTATAGATGTCTGTTAGGCCTAATTGGTTCATATTATTGTTCAAGTTCTCTATTTCCTAGATGATCTTCTGACTAGTTATTCTATCCATTATTGAAAGTGGGTTAATGAAGTGTAATTATTATTATCGAATTGTCTATTTCTCTCTTAAATTCTATCAGTTTTTTTCTCCATATATTTTTTGGCTGTCTTATTAGATGCAGATATAATTATGTCTTCATGATGGAGTCACCCTTTCATCATTAATCATTATCATCACTTTTTAAAGATGAAAATCCCTTTTGTTTGACATTAGTATAGCCAATTCTGCTCTCTTTGGTTGATGTTTGCATGGTATATCTTCTTCAGTCCTTTCACTTAAAACCTATATCTTTGAATCTACAGTGTGTCTCCTGTAGATAGCATGGAGTTGGATGTGGGTTTTTTTTATCCAGTCTCAAAATGTCTGCTTTTTCATTAGGTTGTTTAATTCATTCACATTTTGTCATTATTAATATGATTGGACTTACGACTGCCATTTTACTTTTTGTTTTTTCTATGATTCATGTTTCTTTGTCCTTCTTATCCCCTTTATTTGTAATTGAATATTTTTAGTGTGGCATTTGAATTACTTTAATAATTGTTCACTTTTTAAAAATTTATTTTCTTAATGGTTATACTAGGGCTTTCAGTATACATCTTAACTTAGATCTACTCCAGATTTATATCAACTTAATGACAGTGAGACATATAAATCTCACTCCTATATAGTTCTATCTCCTTTTCTGCCTTTTTGTGTTATCATGTTTGCTCACTAGCAAAATCCATATTTTTTTTGACAGCCAGCTGAGACCTGAACTTCCTCAGTCTCTATGCCAAACAAAGTCAGTCCCCTTTAGGGACAGCTACAGAGCTCTCTGTTCTTATGGCCTGATTCTCCCCCTATGGAGAACCTCTGTGCTATTGCTCCAGAGATGGGAGCAGGAACATTTACCCTGGCAGTATCACCCATTACAAGAGACTCTGGACTGGGGGGCAGCAGGGAAGGGGCATTGCTGATCTCCTTGCTTTGTCCCTCCCAGCATGGAACCTCTGCCCTACACAGAAGCTGGGGTGAAGGTTACTGGAGCCCAATATTCTCAGCTTGCTGTGCAGGGGGTAGAGTTTCTGTTCTATGAATGGGGGCTGGGTAGAGGAAGGGAGCCTCAGACCTCTTTTGTCTGGAATAGAACTTCTGCAACACAGAGCTGGGAAGAATAAGGAGTGCTGGTGGGCAGCCCCTCCTGGAGAGAAATCATAGTCTTAAACCGGAATAGGGATGTTTTAATGGTAAAGCCTGAGCAGACTAATCAGAACTGATACTGGCTATCAGGAGTGGATACATAATTAACAGGGCACAGTGAAGAATGAAATCTGGGGCCCCTTCTTAAAAATACTATTAAGAATTTCAAGATGGTGACAGATCATTAAACCATGTGTGAGGCCCTTCTGAGCATCCAAGCATAGGACCCTGTGTACTTCCACGAGACACATCCCATGAAGCCATCCTCACTCACTTTCACCCTAAAGTAGGATCCTGGGGAACTCCTGCTGTGAAAGGTGTCATTCCTTAGTTTCTGGGAGATCCTAGAGAAAGGGCTTCAAAGTGAGGGGCTAGGGCAGCCCTAGCTGGCAGAAGTCAAATGGGCTAAAGGGGGACCGTGAGTTAAGGCACTGTCTCTGTATCAAGCATTGGGGAAATATTTGATACCTTAAAACTCTATCATAATGCAAAAAAACAGAGGTTCAAAAAATTCAATCTCAGAAAATTTGGGGTCACATTATTAAATGGTTAATAAACCTACACAGCTAGCAGGCCAGTAGTTCCAGGGGTCCTTTTACAAGGTCCAACTCTGTCCAGATTTGGTGCCACTTGGTTGTTATATCCACTTTATTGCAGAAATTCTGCTAGGGACTTCTAGGTTTATGGCAAGGATTCAAGAAATCCTTTCATTATTAGAGCTTGTTATGCATGTTCTGAACAGGGGAATTGGAATATGAGGTCCCTAAGACCAACTCAGCCTCCGAGGATGGGGTTGTTTGCCTCTTCTCTGCCTAGCCTTGACCTCTCCCCTCCACATTCCTCCTTCCCCCCCAACACACCAAAAACAACTTTAGCAAGCCCTGCTTTGAGAGCAATTTGCCAATCATATTATATCTTAATTCATATCACCATGGGAGGTTTAATGTTTAACAAGGATAGGTCTACTTAGGGAAATGGTGATGCATCCTATCATTGATTACAAGTGACAGTAGAGGATAGTATTCTGGTTTACACATCAGTTTTAGCTCTTTTCCCCCTTTTAGAGATAGATGATCAATGCCAACGATAGTCAAAGCTGTAGTTAGCCTGCCCATGGGCTTACCTCACTATATTATTTTAGTCTTTTTAATTCTAAAATATTGCTATATATATCACTGCTTCTCAAATTGAATGTGCAAATGAACCACCTGCAGATGTTGTTAAAATGCAGATTGCTAATTGAATAGGACTGGGTTAGGGTCTGAGATTCTGAATTCCTAATAAGCTCCAGGTAATGCCCTGGGAGCTTATCTGTGACCCACAGAATAGAACTACTCCAAATAATATTAAATAGAAATTGCTTCAAACTAAAACTTAGCTCTTGATTGTAATTTGCACGTCATAATTCCCTAAGTTTTAAAGCAACTATCTATACCTAGGTTGCCACATTCTCTCCCAGAGGTCAATTGTCAATTAATCAGGAGATTGGATGTACTTTTAAGAGGTTTCTTACTAATTTCAGAGGCTTGGGCCTTTTGGTCTCCAAACTTCAAAAAAAAAAAAAAGAAATCGCACCATCAGAAAGTAGGAAATGCTGCCTGCTAACTAGTATAAGAAACTCCCAACCTTTTACTGTGTAGTTTGTGACATCTGAATTTTTCAAATATGATCTCAAGTCATTTATTTTCAGCCTCTTAAGCTCTGCATTCCTCCCATCTTTTTCATGAAATGTGAAGCACACATTTAGACTATGAATGTATTTAAAACTTCTTGCTTCCTATTAATCCTCTCCACAGGTTACTTTTAAGGTCAAACAACCTTATTCATGGTGAATACTTTCATCTCAAGTACAATTTTTAAAAAACTAGAATCTCCTCTTCCAAGATTCGACAATATCTTTATAGTTTAGTGCAAGTTGTGAAATCACATTGTTTTTTAATACATCACTGAATAGAATGTGACCCACCCCTTGAATTCTCTATGTATAGCACTCTCGCCATGGATTAATGAGGAAAAAAATCTGTTAATAGAATCCAGAAAATGTACAACTACTTGAGGGTTTGAATACTCTTATGTCTATGTAAATATAGCAATATTTTTGAAATAAGATTTAGTCAACAGTTGGAGCAAAAATTCAGTTTAATAAGACTCATATTTCATATTTGGCCGGAAATAATTGAGTCAACACTGTGTCTCCTGATGAGAAAAGACTTCTTTTTTTGTTTGAAAAGCCTGAAATTAAGAAAGAGCGCCATTATTAACAGTCATAATAACACAAACTATTTCACTTAGATTAATAACTCAGAGAAACAGGCAAAAAGCATTCAACAGAGAAAGTGAAACATTTCATACACATTCGCATTACTCTGTATTGTTAAAAGACTTGGCATTAAGATATTTTCTCCCAGTTACAATTCCTCCTTAAAGCCCAACCCATAGTGATCCCTCCATATTCTGAAATTCTATATTATCTGTACAACTCAAACAGCAATCATCTAAAAGCAACTCATAACGCAGGCTATATTTTGTTTATGGATTCCATCTCCCCCAACTAGAGTGTGAGCTCTTGGTGGGCAGGTAGCACGGTTTTTAGTTTTTATGACCTTTTGCCTGTGACACACCAGTGATATATTTCAGTCTATGTCCATTTTAAGCTATTCTTTCCTTTCTCCCAATCCTGCTTTTTTCCCATAACTCTTTCTTTATATTTTACTCTAATCTAGAGGTAAATAGTGTTTCATGTTCTAAGCATTATTCTTACAGTTCAACAAAAGTAAATCCACCCCCAAAATGTAGCTTTTTAGGGTTAAATTTTTAAATTAATGTATTTTCTGAAGACATCATTATAATCCGTACAACATCAATTGTACACTCACAGGGTGCAAGCAAAATTATAAAATATAGGTCCATCATTTCTAAATGCAGAACATTTTTTGTTATCTACTGTCTCAGACTAGACATCGTAATGTTATATAACTTACCGTTTTCAGTAAATCTTTTTGATTGTACAAAACCAGACAAGTTACTAATGAGACAAGTAATGAGATAAGTGCAAATGGTATCAGGAAAAATAACGAGGCTTTCTTCAATATGTCACCTAGGATTAAAAATCACAAAAAAATGGGAAGGGTTAGATGTTTACATTTATTTTTGAAAATGAATTATTTTATAAATAAACTAGTAAATGGTGAACTGAGTTAAATTCGGCAACTTCTGCCATATATATCAGTGCATATATACCATAGTTATGTTTGAGTGTAGTATTTTCATTTGTGTACTTTTTATATAGAACTGCTCTACTGAACTGTGATATCTCTTCATTTTACTTAGAAAAATAACTCTCCAAAGCCCAATTCTTATTTTCTCATATGATTTTGTTTAAAATTTGACCTTGTGAATTTTTCATAATAAATAAAATATTAGCCAAATGATTAGATAAGTGTCCTGTGTATCTCTTAACTCTCAGTAAATCAAATGTTTATATCATATCATATAATGCTGTAGTGAGCAAGAGCTGGTCTTCAATAAAAGTCCCTGTGTGAATAATAGAGCTAGTCTTTAAAGGTCATGTTTATAAAGTTGTCTCACATTCTAGAGACTAAAGAGAGGAGGTTTTTCTCCTCTTTTCAGGTTGAAGCTTTTTTTTCTTCTTGTCAAGAAGATTGGCTCTGAGCTAACAGCTGTTGCCAATCTTCCTCTTTTTTCTTCCTCCCCAAAGCCCCAGTACATAGTTGCATATCCTAGTTGGAAGTCATTCTAGTTTTTCTATGTGGGATGCCACCACAGCATGGCTTGATGAGTGGTGTGTAGACCCGTGCCCAGGATCTGAACCAGCGAACCCCAGGCTGCCCTTGAAGAGGAGTGCACGAACTTAACCACTCAGCCACAGGGCCAGCCCCTAGGTTGAAGTTTTAATGGTTGTTCTGCATAGCAAGAAATGAGCAATCACTAGACAAACTTAAAAAGTAGACAAAGCTTATCTTTCCAAAACTAGTATCTTCCACTTGTTTTGAAGTATTATAGAGCATCTTGAATCCTAGATCCAGATCTACACTAAAACCTACACCCAACGAACACAGGGATACATATATCTTCTCGAATTAGTGTTTTTCTGTTCTTTGGAACATGATGTAGTCTATACAGAAATCGAAATATAGTGATGTACAATGTTATAAACTAATGTTACAAAAAAAACCTACACCCAACCCCACCTTTTTCTTTCTCTATTCCCTAAGCATCTTATTTTCTGCTGGAAAATTACCAAATTCATATGCTCAGCTCAATTAAGATTTGCAAGCATATAATCCAGAGAAGTGACTAGCAATATTAAGGTTTTTTGCATGCAAAATTAACAGTGGGAAAGCAAACTTTTTTCCTGAGGTTCCAGCTCCTTTCCCTATACATAGAGTCAATCCTGAAACAGATATATTTTCATTTCCAAAAAAATTTTCCGTTTTTCTATAACTTGAAACATCCAATAAGAAATGTACTAAAGAACTCAGACCACATGCATTTCAGGAAATTCTTTGTTCATAATCTCAAAGTTATTAAGTTTCCACCAAGAGATACCAATCAGGGCAAAAGAAATCTGTCATCAATATCACTTAATATTATATGTAAAATACATAAAAAGATGTATATTTTGAGGATGTAGCTAAAAACTCACCATACCACTTTATGCATTGACTAAGGACAAGATATAATTCAAGACATGACTTTCTCAATGTCAGTTCCACAGAGTCTCTAGTTTTCTTTTTTTTATTTTTGAGGAAGATTAGCCCTGAGCTAACATCTGCTGCCAATACTCCTCTTTTTGCTGAGGAAGACTGGCCCTGAGCTAACATCGTGCCCATCTTCCTCTACTTTATACGTGGGACGCCTACCACAGCATGGCGTGCCAAGTGGTGCCATGTCCGCACCCAGGATCCTAACTGGCCAACCCCGGGCCGCCAAGAAACGGAATGTGCGAACTTAACTGCTGTGCCACCGGGCCAGCCCCTCTAGTTTTCTTACAGTGGTGACAAAAACAGAAACATGGAGCCAGTAAGTGTTCTTTCTGATTTCATGTATTTCTTGGTTAACTGAGTTCTTCCTCTCTCTGCCTAAGTTTTCTCCATAGCCCTTAGTGATTATATGACACATTGGCCTGTTTGTTTATTGCCTATCTCTATTCCACTTGGGAATAAAATATAAATTCTGTGAGGACAGGGATTTTTTTTACTACTGTATCTCAAATGCCTGAAAATGTCTGCCATACGGTAGGTACTAAATAAATATTTCAAGAATGAAACAGAACAATGATACCACTATATTAATAGGAAGATAATTAATAGGAAGGCAATAGTCAAACGGGGATTCCATTATAATGGAGCAACATGAAAGGAGATTAATGGTTGATAGAAATGCCATTATCTGTCTGTATGTACATCTGTATGTGTATTTATGTATCTATATACCTGAAAGAGCAATGCTGAGTTAATTTCCTTAAATTTCAAACAATTATTAGGAATTTACATTAATAAGGCTAACATACTGTGAAGCACAATAATATTTTGTCTCATTATCAAGACTTTTTAGTTTATATTGCTATTTAGTTGAAATATGTCTTTTATCACTATTCACTTTAAATCAGTGTTGGAAGTGAATGGAATATGCATTTTACTAATGGTGACATATTAATCAGAAAAATATTCATTAGGCACAGTAGTAGAGACTCAAAGTAATTGTATGTTGGCCTATCCTTGCCATAAGATTTCTTTTCCCTTGAAAATTGAAAGCATAGGAAAATATTGATTAAAATAGGCTCCCCTCAAAAAGAACTAGCATATTCTCTTTATTGACAGAAAAGCAAGAATGATGATAATAGAACTATAACAAGACTCAAACTAATTTAACTCCTCCTAGTGAAAACTGAATATTCGATTTTCCATAAATCTATGTTTGATTGAGGTGCTTGCTAATTTATATTGTCTATAGACTATATGCAAGAGCCTTTTGATTTCCATAATTACAAAATACACTGAAAGAAAATTAATTTTGCTAGCAAATAGCTCGTTATTTAGTTACTGTTCTTTTATCTCATACCATTCCAGCATTGTTCATCACTCCACTCACTCCAAATTCCATCATCTGAGCAATAAATATTCACTTTGCTTCTTACTAAAAAGCATAATCGTTTGCTTTCATTTGATGTTCTTGCAATGTATATTTCATTTTCAACTGTGGTAGTCTGAAAGCCAAGGAAAAAATAAGATGCTATTATTTGGTCTAATTGCAGCTAGACAGATCCCGTTTGATTTGTCACTTTCAAAGTGGGTTTTGCTACATAAAATATATGCATCAAATGTCTAGAAAGGTATATACCAAAATCCTAACAGTGATTATCTCTCTTTATGGTGGATTATTTTTTTCATTTTTTCTTCTCTTACCTATATTTTTAAATTTTTCTATAGTGATAATGGATCACTTGAAGTAAAGGGCACATGCGACAGGACAAAATTCCTAGGTAGCTTTGGTGTTTATGACACCCAGTATTTGGATTAATGTCAAATTTCCCAGATTGCATAAACTGAAATTGCTTCATACAGTGAGGTAGCAAAAAGAGCCATCATGTGAATGTTGTTTCTATGGAAACTATAGAGTTCATACACATAAAGCTTTTTTTTTTTCTTTTTCTTATTTTGGTTAACCACCATTAAGACCCACGTAACAGTGCTCAGGGCTTGGCATGAAACTACCCTTTCAGATATGAGAATACACAAAGCTAGATGATCTCAAAGAAAAACAAAATCACCAAAGCAACTGTTTCAGTTTTGCATTTCAAAGAGCTGAAGAGTATTTCTTATTCAAAATAACATCTTTTCTTTTGTTGTAACTCTTCTTGGGAACCAGCATACTATCGTATAGGTTAAAGTGGACTGGGAGTAAGATCTAGATTCTAGTTCTAGCTGTGTAACTTCATTGTAAGTCCATTCACTTCCTTGTGACTTGTAAATCAGTTCAACTCCCAATTCTCTCATCTGTATATGAAATGAACTGATTAGAATGAATGATTCACCTACTTGTCTCCACCACTGTCTAAGTTGGAAACCAATAAATAAAATTAACATATAACAATGTGGGGCTAAAGGCATCACCACACTGTTGGTGCTGGGAGGTAATCAGTCTTGCAACCATTGTCTCCTTCCCCACTTAGTCCCTCTTCCCCACTACTAGCAATTCTCAAGTAGCCCTGCCAGATTCTACTCTAATTTTGACCTGACGGTCGTTCCTCAAGAATTGGTTTTTATGTTTGTTTGTGTTTTTTGTTTTCTTTTTACCTGAGGCCTCTTTACAACCCATCTTATGCATGTGCTTAGCAAATTAACTTATTAACACAATATTGGAAACAAGTGACTAGATTATCTCTAAGGTCCTATGTAGTTTTAAAATTGGTGTGACTAATTACATTTTCAGACTGTAAGCGTCTTTCTTTATCCACTAGATTGCTTGGTTTTCTGGAAATTAAACTAAGATACACGTCATGTTCTATTCCTCATGTGGATAGCAACTGATTTTGGTTCTCATGTTTGCTATTTTATTTAAAAAGTTATGTTTATGATTTTCCCAAATAAATGCAATATTCATACCACCCAGGTAGTATCATCTTCTGTGAACTTGATTTCATAAATGAAACACTTTGCTGGAATGGGTCCTCTAGGCATGTTCCATTTCAGGCTAATGTCCTCTGAACTCTTCACAATGAGACTAAGGTAGTCTGGTGGCAAAGGTTTAACTGAAAAGCAAAAGGAAACAATTTCAACACAGAAATTACTGAGGTTCAGCAGTAGCCCTAATCAAAAGCTAGGGATACCTAGTAACAGAAGCCTCCAGGATAAATCAGGCAGCTCAAGACTATTCTCTACAATGTAAATTAAAATCAAAGTTGCTTGCCAACCAAGATTAGTTTGAGAAACTTGGTTATTTTGGAAACTCAATTTCCAGTAAGTCACATACTGACAATTATTTAAGCCTAAGAGAGAAGTCAGAAGATCAAGATCATTACAGTCATTTTTCCATTTTGTAGCATTAGAAACAACTACCACAACCATTACTACTACTATTTTTGTTAACAGCCAACTTATTTAGAACTTACGACATGTCAGGCACTGAACCAGAAATGTTACATCATAAACTCTTTCATGTCTCAAAATTTAATCTATGAAGTGGTCCTCTATTACCTGCATTTTATTGATAAGAAACCTGAAACAGATGTTAAAAGTAACTTGCCCAAAGTCATACAGCTGGAAAGTGGTAAATCCAAGATTTAGACTCAGGTATGGTTGACTCTAAAACCTGTTAGAACTGTTAGAACTGAGAACACAGAGTCAGAAAATACCCAACCATTTGCCTATTGAGCTCCCAGGTCTCAATAGGCAAATTCCATAATTACTCCATCACTAACACTAGATAAAAATAGTATGTAGCAGACCAACTCTTTGAAGCTGGGAAATAATTGTGAGTTCTAAATGAAAACAACACTTTATCCTTCACTCAATTCCTTATCTTCTATACTTTTATATTTAACAAGAGCTTCCTTGTGTGCTCTATTGGCCCTCATTCTTTTGGCTTTGCATTTCGGTAGGTATCTCTATCTCCATCTCTTCTCTTCCAGGTGGTTGTAAATGGTTCTGGTTCTAAACCAGAAACATTTTGAAGTTGTTTACCTCACCTATATTTTGAAGCTGAAAAATGAAATAGCTGGGTCTGATAGGCTCGGATTCTGATGATCCATTAACACAGATGTAGAAATCTTTATAGTCTGATGACTCCAAATAGGGAAACCTGCATCCAATATTTTTTCCATTAACCTTGATGTAATCAGCACACTGTAATGCATGGTGCAAGCCCTCATACCTGTAAAAAGAATTATTGTAAGAATTGTGTTTACCAATATCTCCCAGTATCATGGCGCTCAATTTTCAATTATCTTAAGATACCAAGTGAATAAAAAATTATTTAATAACATGCAATATTTACTGAGCACCAACTATGTGCCAGATTCTATGATAAGTGCTAGAGAAACAATAGTAAGGAAAGTAGACATAGTCCAGGATTTCATGAAGCTTCCAATCTGGTGAGAGTCTTTACAAAATTCAAAGACAAGGCAAGGATTCTTACTCATCTACTTAGGTTATGCTGACTCACCAACAGGATTTGTGAAGCGGAAAACAATTCCTACTAAGAAAAACTGGGATTTATATAGATAATCTTGGATAATACTACCTTTTTTACATTGTACTGGAGAAAGCAGATTTAAAAGCAGACTTACAAAATACTATTATGTATAATAAAACGAATGAAAGTCCTCTGAGGACACAATACACAACAAAAGATAAACCTCAGAAAAGACAATGAGGAGGTCAAAAAGAAAAAGATGAGCCGTTTGGCAAGTAAATATCTAATTTCCCATTCTCCTAGACAAGAAATGTTGCCATATAATTGGAAGTTAACCTCTTCCCAGTAATAAAACTAGTGGGAATTAAGGGGGATTTCCCAAGCAACAAATGCCTGTTTATTTTCCTAAAGAATAGCTTGCAACGCAAAATGTGACATAACCTGTAAAAGTAGCCAAAATTCCTTTTGTAGTGAGGCCAATCTAGCAGCTGGTAAGGTGCTTGTACAAGTCTCTGGACTCTACTGAATTCACTTTATGCCAAGTATTTACTTTAGGCAGAGTTTGCAGAATTGTAGTCTATTTGTTACTTCACCTGATTAGACTTTGAAAGACTTGAATTCTAGGGTGGACTTTACACAGGTTTACTTTGTGCCAACGGGAAGCCTCATGGTACCCTTATTTTCCAGTCTCTAAAATGTTAATATTTTTCCCTCACTACTTTAGTAAGGTGAGAATAAAGTATGTTAGACATGACCTACAATGTATAAGAGGGCACGAACTTTGTCTTATTCACACTTTTGTCTTTTTTATCTAGAACAGTGCCTGGCACTTAATAATTGCTTAATATTTGTTGAATTAATGAACAAATAATTTAGACCTTAGAAATTGACCCATCCAATTCCAGATGAGGAAACTGAGATTGCAAAAAGGGAAACTGCTTGCCCAAGACCACCAGTTTAAATGATGGCAGACCAGGGACCAGAACCCAGTTCTAAGGATTGTTATTAGTTTATACCTTATCACTTATATGATTTTCTAAAGGAAAATGCCATGATAATTTGGGCCTGAAACTCAGAAAGAGTAACTGTGTCCTTCATTGGCTTCTGTTATTTATTAAATGCATAAATTCTGATACTTACCTATCAATTTATCAATGCTATCATCATTTTTAGGTTATAACTGCTTAGGTTATAACTCCATCTATATAAAGGATACAAAATATAATCCAGTACAGAATCAGTGATTGCATTCTTTATATCACCCATAGAGTACTTTCCTACTTCCTTCTAACTCCCATTGAAAACCACAAATAACTGTAAACAACCTTCATCATAAATACAACTCTGAAAAATATAATGAATTTAATTTAGTGAAAATACAGTTACTTATACTTTGGATTAATTTTGATATTTTCCTAATATGAAATTCTTATTATAAAAATACTTACCAGTAAAACAAGTTGTAATTGGTATCAAAATGAACACCCATGCCAGATTTCCAAGAGCACAGCAAATCTTGCCAGTTGTAATATATACAGTCCATATCCTGAATTTTAGTTCCCAGATTTCCTAAGGAATGAATGAATCGTGAATGTTTGAAAGGCATGGTGATGACTCATTTGGGAAATCACTATGCAATTTTGTTTCATTTCCTTTGACCTCTCCATTTCATTTAGCAATCAACATAATCAGGAATATTTCAAAAGAAAGTTGTTGGAAATCACTTCACTGTAAGTGAGGCATGCAAAATCAAAAACCTTTGAGTGCTCATTTACTGGTACTAGTGTAAGCATATGCAAAAGTACTAACTTAACAATTCTGGGATGCTCTGAGCAGTTGAGTAAATACTCACATACATATTTACTACTGTGACCCCAAAACTGGGAACTATATTAACGTAATAAGAGGTAGGTTTTGCCAAATGCATTTGCCGATTTAAAGAATTCAAAAAGGACAGTCACCCACTCCTAAGAAGGACTCTATTTTGTGCCACACTCTCAACTGTACATATAGCCTGGCATATAAGAGTTAAGGGACTTATTCCTCATATGGATCATTCTAAAAGTATTAAATATGAAAAGAGAGCTTTGTTTTAACCTTGTAGTGATGTCCAATAAGTAACTTCTGCCCACGAGCTTTGAACTTCTGACCCATTTGTGCATTGCCCTGGCAGAAGTGTGCGTATCTTTGCTTCAACACCTTTGTTAAGGTCGAACCCATCTTTGTAGCATAGATTCTTAGTAATGATGGTCTGTTTGATAAACAGATGAGACAAAGTCAAGCTTAGAAACAGTAATGGCATCATCAGCCACAGTTAAGAAGGCTAAGAAGTCATTAATACTCTGGAGAGTTCACAATATCTAAGAAATTCCTGATGATTATCTGATACAATGCCCCAGATATATTTCTGGCAGAGCTCACTTCTGTATATGATGTCATTGATGAGTTCACTTGAATCTTAATATCTCATTCAAAAAACACAAAAAAAATCTACAAGAGAAAAAAGGCTTTATGGCAGAACTTGAGCTATAACCAGCTTGAACTCAAGAGATAGTTTTCACATACCATATACGTATTACATGACAAATGATTTATCACCTTTCAAATATCATATAAACTCTTCAGAAATCATATAAAGTAAGATCTTGGTGGTAACTGGGGAAAGCCAGATAAATTATGGGCTCCTTGGAGGACTAAAATCAAATATCACTTATCCTTGTATTCCTGATACCTGGCAGACTGCCTGGCACAAAAAGTTACTTAATAAATATTTGATTTGAATTATCCCTCGAAGCTACCCAGCTGGATTAGGAAGGTAACAGAATGCCTTGTACGACAGAAATCTTTGAATAAACATGCCTGTTGACCATGTAATTAGTTAATAATACAATAAACTTCCAGTAAGCACTTACTACAATATATGCAAAGAACCATGCTGTGTTCTGTAGGGAGAGTACAAAGATAAATAAGGGTTGATTCCCACAGAGAAAAAGCTCACAGTCCAGTAGCATATATAAGACCCATATACAGGTATATAAGTAATTGTAAAATATGGTAAAATGTGTAAGTACTCTTCAAATCTACATTCCACTGGACCAAGTATTTTTTTTCCTATACTTCCAATGGTAGTCTTAATAATGGGTGGGGTGAAAATAGATGTGGCAGGATGCACAGCAGATAGCAACAGGCAAGGCAGCTTGCTATATCTTAATAATAGCTATTGAGATATGGCAATTAGAGTGGACGCTGACAGCAGGAATCACAAGAAAACTCCTAATCACTATGATATCACAAGTGCATGCTTTACTTACCTTCCAGTTTTCACTATCAATGTTTCGGTATTTTAATTCATATTCTACTGTGCATTCCTTAAAATTATCCAGAGACAGAGGACGTTGCCATTGCAAATAGAGATAACCTAAATATCCAGGATCTACTATCTCAAAGTCCTGAGGAGCATTAACTGAAACAAAATCAATAAAATATTTTTACTCTTTTCCAGTATCTTATGACAGAGATTGCTAAATCCAGATTACTCCCATATGTCCATCAATTATGAATGGATAAATAAGCTGTGGTACACCCATACAATGGAATAGTATTCAACCATAAGAATGAAGTACTGATACATGCTACAACATGGAAGAATCTTGAAAGCTTTATGCTAAGTGAAAGAAGCCAATAACAAAAGACCACATATTGTATGATTATATTTATATGAAATATCCAGAATAGGTAAATCCACAGAAACAAAGTCAATTAGTGGCTGCCACTAATTATGGCTTATGGCTAAGTGCTTTAAGAATTTGGAGAACAGGCAGATCTTGTTGGTCTATTCTGATTAATTGAATCCTCTAGCTTACTAAAGTTCAGAGCTATCCCTAGAGTATGGAAAACCAGGGCCACTCTTTGGAAGGACTCAAGAAAAAGTGACAGGCAGCTGAATAGAAAGATATCAGAACACAGCTCGTCTTATTTTGGGGGAGAGAGTAGTGGGAGGCAATGGCTCCCCCATCTGGTGATTTAAAAAGCAACAAAAATAAACAAATAATTCTATAAACTTTGCTGCTAGCAAATCTAGTAGTACTATAGTACTGCTCTCACGTTGCTTTTCTGCTAATAATTTCCTCTCATTTCTGCCCTGTTCATTTTAATACTTCACTTCATAATAATTACTGAGGTGAGGAAAAGAACCCACTGACAGAAATTGTGGCACAAATTATGATTTGGCATGGGACCCCCATGTACCAATGAAAAGAAGGTCCCTATCGAGGATGAAATGACAATCCTATTATTTCAACTCTTATAGTTAGAAATCTTTGTCAAACGCATTGTTCTAATTACCTTCTACAATAATAAAAGTTCATTAGATGCGATTTAATAATTCTGTAATTATTTTTAAATTTTAATTTAAATCTCTGTACATTTTTTCTTATTTATATAATTGTCTTAAAAGTTAAAGATACTAATTAAGGAAAATTTACAGTTAGTTGGGTACCAGGCAATGAAGTTCAGATAATTAATCTATTTTTTAGAAAAGACTATACAAAAAGGTATGGAAAGCATCTTTTAGTTTGGCTTTTATCCCACAAAATGTTTGTTATCATCAGTTACTTTATACATGAGACTGACTAGTAAGAATATATCTTTTCTGCATGGACTTCCTGAAATATTTCCAATAACAATCCATCTACTTGTTACGCATTTTCATAGGATAGGTTGAAAAGACAGTTAATATCTCCAACTTTAAAACTACTCCATTGTTGGTTTACCGTTTATCTCGGCGTTTGAAGACAAAGTAGAGCCAAATGCCATGCAAATAAGAAGGGTATAGAGGCATCTGCTATCCAAACGAGTGAGAGCCATTTCTCCAAGATTTAATATCTTGAAATTTCCACTCTAAGAAGAAAAAATATAATATTTTAACTTTATCTTACTTCAAATAACCAAATGACTAAATGTTATTAAAAGTACATTAGTCTTCGCATGGAAATTCTATGCTTGCTCGCTACCAAGAATTGAGAAAACTGTACCTTTAAACCATGGAAACAAGAAAAATCAAGTGTGGAACCAACATAATTGGAAAGGGAGGTTTCTAGTCTCACCCTTCTTATAAGAGTAAAAACAAAGCAAAACAAACAAAACTTGTATCCCTCTACCTCTCCCCCCCACCCCCCACCACACACATACTTTTCCACGCATCGCATGCTCTGGCCAGTACAGGTTGGCTTCAAATAGCCTTCTGCCTGAAGACTGAGCCAGAGCCACCAGAGCGTGCTTATTGGTTCACAGGGGGCTTTATGACATCATTAGTCTCCATAGCAACCTCTCCCCTAGCAACAAAGAAAACACACTGATAGATACATATACTCTTTTCTGAGATTAAAAGTATTTGAAAGTTATCTGACTACTGAGAAAACTCAGAAATGACACAAAAGCCTCAGATAACTGAGAACTTTGCTTCATATCTTCATAAGAAATGTTAAATTATCATCTTCTGCTCTCCTATATGTTCCACTCTTCCCTGTATTTCCTGTATCAGTAAATGACATCATCATCTTCCCAATTGCCCGAGCCAGAAACCTGAGAGTCTTTCTCAAGTCCTCAGTCTCTCTTCCAATCTCTGCATTATCATTACCCCTTCCTCAGTTGAGGATCTCATCATCAGGGATCTCCTTATCCAGTCTTTCCTGTTTCCAAAACATTCTCTACACCACATACAGTAAGAATGACCTTTCTAAAGGACAAATCCAAACTTATCACCCCTTACTTAAAACAGCACTTCACTGCCACAAAATACAATTTAATCATCTTTTTATTTTTGAATAATATTGATTTTATGATCAAAACTTAAAGGATTCATGTATCCACATACCTACTTAATCAAAAAATACTCTCCTTTCAAAAAAAATCACCACTCCCAGTTCTATACTTCTTTTTGAGTCTATATTCCCAGAACCAACAATTTCACAGGAAGTTAAGGATTAAAGGTCACTTATTCTAACATTCAGGGACTACCTTTCTTTTTTCCAACATAAATCAATTAGGAAGGACAGACCCTCTCTCCTTGCCCCACCATCGTTATCCTACCTGGTCCATCTGTAATGCTCTAATGTTGGTAAGCTCCCATTATTACATAATACAATCTTGGGATCAGACTGTTAGAGCCAGCAGGTATATTGTAGACAATGCTAGTCCAGTCCTCCTTTATATATTGGGAAGTAAAACTGAGACTTGCCCAAGATTACACAGCGAGTTAGTAACAGAGCTGGAAGTAGGACAGAGTTATGATTCCCAACCCAGTGCACTTCCACCTTAGCATGCTGGATCCCACACGTTTGACTCAGGATTATGAAAGCTTTTCCTCTGGGATTCCAGCACTTAAGTCTTCCTTCAAGTAGCTAGCCAGGCTGAATCAACACTGTGTCATTTTTGTCTATGTCTCATAAAATCATAAAAGATGTCATTTCTCTTACAGACATCCAATAAATCTCTCTCCTCAATTCCTCCTTCCCTGCTCACCAGCCCATTGCTGCCCTCTAAAGCATCTATAAGTAATAGGTTTGGTCAACAGAAGGCCACACATCTTCCACAGAGCTGATCTCATACATTGAGATGAACGCAGTAAGTCTGACAAAGAGAAATCCTTTCATTCTACCTATAAGGACTAAGACAATCAGGCTTCCCTTAAGATGCTCTCTCAGAGATCTTAAAATTTTCTCTCCCTTATCAATCTGTCCCTAAATATTTCATAGCATTCATAGCCCTGTGTCATGTGCAGCATAAATGCTAAGTAAAGAGTTAAAAATCACTTGCTTCTATTCTACTTATAGGCTACTGAAATTTGACTCGGGTTATCAAATAGCGTTTCCCGGATCAGTCCAACACATTCAAGCAAAGACAGGAAATGTGATAACTGGCTTCCTGAGTCACTTATCTATAAACCCACAAAAGGAGTTCCTGAATTACACCTAGGGTCCCACCTAGACTTTCTTACCCAAATGAACACGAAGACAATTCTTTCCTTGGCTTCTGGGTTATAGGCTTGTCACTAGTGCCATGAGGTGCTTTATATACTATATGGTTACCAGGAAGGACAGAGTTTTTCAAAAGAGGGGAAGGGACCTGAAGAGAAAGGGAAGATGGGGGATAGAAAGGCAGACATACGGAATTTGAAACAGTTTCTGAAATACTCCCCACTCCAAGGCCACAGTTAACAACTATTCATCTGGTCTTAACTCCTTATTTTGAAAAATGAAGAAATACCCAGCAAGGAAGGTGAGTTGTGCAAGGTCACACAACTTATTGGTGGCAGAGGTAGGACTGAAAACCAGCTCTCTTGAACCCTTTTCACTGACTAGCAAATAAATTTTCTTCTTATAAGGAGTCTATCTTGCACCTATAATACCAGAAGCCTCCCCGGGAATCTTCCTCAACCTACTGTCACCACCCAAACCATCAACTCTACCACATAGTTTTACCATCACGACATTCTTGGCAGAGTAATAATTCAATAAACATTCACTGGGCACCTATATTTTTTGCCAGACACTATTTCAGCTAAATCTTGTCTAAGACACAAGATGCGAGTGATGAGTCATAATGTCTGTATTAATAATAATATTTCCTACTATTTATTCAGTTTATGCACTTTACATGCATTATTTCATATAATATTCATAGTCAGCCTTGGGCGTATGTACTATTTTTATTACCATTTTAAAGATCAGAAGCAGAAACATAGTAAAATTCAACAAATTCCCACAAGTCACACTGATCATAAATGGCGAAGCTTACATTTGAATCCAGACAGTCTAGTACCAGAGTCCTCGATGATAACCACTATAACTAGCATTTTCCACGCCTAAGATCAATGTGGAGGGCAGCCTCCTGTTTCTACCCAATCAGTTTCACACAACACTATTGCTTAGACAGTTTCCCACTGAGAATCTCCTTTGGAATGGCAGGCCTAAAGCTATTTCCTGTTTTCAGCCTCAATTCCCCACCTTCTCAAAGCCATGCTACATAATCTCTTCATTCTAAGAGTTGGCTGGGATAATCCTTGCATTATTGGAGAACGTCCAGGTACTTACCAATAATATGGTTTCTCAAGAAATGTATTATCATAGGCAATTATCACAGGCCTTCTATTTTTCTCTTCTCCACTTTAGAGGCATTAATTAGAATCTCTAATACTTCCCTTCCTGTCTGATAATAAGGCACACTGAAAAAATTACATAGCTGTTCCCGAAATAGCCAGCAGGCCAGGATCCAAACCTGTGAACCCCAGGCCGCTGTAGTGGAGCCCGCAAACTTAACCACTATGCCACTGGCCAGCCCCTGATCTTTGTTTAAATAACAATAATTTCTTGCATTTTCTTAGTTTTTTATAGTTTACAAATAATTTATTGAATTATTTTAACAAATCTATAGGTGTATAAAGTTAGTATTGCATATCTACAGTCAGTAACATTGGAGCTTAGAGAAGTGATGTGATTTGTACAAGATCCCACAGCTGGCAAAATCCATACTGAAAGGAATGGTAAAAGAAGTAAGGGGCAATAAAAGGTTGCAAGACTAAGAATGCAGTCGCTTACATAATACAGTTTTGTAGAAAAGTTCCTTCTCTACCTTAACAAAGAAAAAAAAGATTCTTCCAAAGTATCTGAAATGACCTCAGGTTCTTGTTTTGTTTGTAAAGGTAGTGACTAAGTTGCAGAAAAAATAATTATTTATTAGAAAATGATGAATGGAGTTTTGCAACATCACTAAAGTGACTTCTAAAAAAACCACCCCAAAGAAGTATGGCCATGTTATTTCTGCTGCCATTAGATAAAAAGAAAGATTAGGGGCTGGCCCCATGGCGGAGTGATTTAGTTCGTGCGCTCCGCTTTGGCAGCCCGGGGTTTCGCTGGTTCGGATCCTGGGCGCGGACGTGGCTTCCCTCGTCAGGTCATGCTAAGGTGGCGTCCCATATAGCACAACCAGAGACACTCACAACTAGAATATACAACTGTGTGCTGGGGGGCTTTGGGGAGAAGAAGAAAAAAAAGAAGAAGAAGAAGATTGGCAACAGTTGTTAGCTCAGGTGCCAATCTTAAAAAAAAATTAGTGTTATAAAATTTGATACTTTCCATTCACATTATTTAAAATATCTAAAAACATCAGCCAAAGCAATTATAATAGGACTTGGAGAAAAAGAAAACGGGAAAATAGAGAAGAAGTAGAGCTTGAGGAGAATAAAATGGAAAAGAGGGGTAACTGCAAAAGCTTAAATGTCATCTGTGGGTGAAATGATAAATTTAGAAAGTCTTACATGAGAAGGCATTGAGCAGGAGATCTGGACTCTAGCACCAACTTTGCCAGGGGATTTAGAAAATGATAATAATAGGGACTATAGTTTATTAAGCTCTTACCAGGCATTAAGCTCTGTGCCAGATGCTTGATATAGAGTAGCACCTTTAAGTCTCACAAACATTGCTAGTTACTACTATCATTATCCCAATATTACAAATGAGTCGTATGAGGCTTAGAAAATGTAAGCAAATTACTGAAGGTCATACAACTTAAGCAAGATAAGATATGTAAATCTGATTCTAAAAGATAATGCTCCTTTTAACATATAATACTGTCTTTCAACTAACCTCACTTTAGTGAAGCTCAACTTCCTCTCATACAGGTTATCCCTGGGATATCATTCTGTTTCATCAGTTAATCTGCTGTGTATCAGTCCACGGTTTTAGGATGTGACTCAAAAGCACTGGCTTGCTGAATAACTAATCTTGTTTCAAGGAGACCATCCAACATATGCAAATGTCTATTCATAGCTCTCTGGAGTATAGCCATGACTCAGCATCATAATCAGCACCTCTGGAACCTGCCAGATCTTGAGGCCTGAC